AGCGAATAGCACCTACGAAGGTCGGCACGGGACACGAGGGAAGTGGGTGGCCAGCACCACGCCGGGCCGCCTTTGTCTCCCCAGTGCTGGCGATGTTTACGCACCGCACCCAGGTACACGTAAGACATTGCTAGAATTTGTGGCAATGGTACTGTGCTATGAAGGACTATTGCCCGAAACGTCGGCTATTATATATTTTTGTTTCTAAGGCCACTCACAAGTGTCGAGTGTGTTGATACTCACCGACTCAGCCCCAAATGTGTATCTGATGTGGTGCGTAAACATCGCCACTAGGGAGACAAAGGCGGCCGGGCGTGGTTTGCTGGCCACCCACCCCCTCGTGTGTCGTGCCGGCCTTCATTAGGTGCTCGCTAACAGCACTTGCCCCGACAGTCTGTTAATGCTACACGGGGGAATCTTTGTCTTTGTGGCTACTCAACAACAACAAAAAGCAACGAGTCCAGCCGTGGCGCGTCGACAAAAGATCCGCATCGGTGGCCGCGTAAAAACAACATCCACAGAACGGAGCGGGCAACGCGGTGACCGGCGACGGAGTGGAATTGAACAACAGCGAAACAAACAAACAAAATATCTCAAAAGGGGAGAGATCACACGAGGGTCTGGAAACTTGAATTGAAATCGTTTTTTATTGAACGAATGTCGAGCACAGGGAAGGGAAACAGATTCTCGCTATGACGCGGCCGAGTCTGAACACACAGAGTCGGCGGCGCTTTCTTCGCGATTTAAATTAATGGCTTAAAGGAAAGGGGGTCGTGGAGATCTGGGAGTCTCGCAGAAGCGACATCAATGAAGCATCACGGCAGCATCAATTACCATCGCTGCACCACCGTCGATTACCATCAATGCAACACCATCAATTACCATCACTTGCACCATCACTTGCACCATCACTGCACAATCACTTGCACCATCATGACACCGAATGCCTGATGGAGTCTCACTCAACATCAGGGGTGTAATAATCCCCCCGCCAAACACCAGCGACCAATGAATAGTTTCGATGCGATAATTTATTTGAACGTTGTGTGGCGATTATAGCGGCCACTAGCAACTGCCGGGGTCACGTGATCCCCCTTAGAGCGGAGCGTTGACAGAATCTAAAAATAATAATCGATTCTTAATCCAGGTCAACGCCTGCGCGATTGAAATCGCCTGCAACACAAAAAACGTGAATTGCTTGCAACCGCTTTGTCCGCATCTGAGCGAGCAGTTGCGCATTTGCAGCGGCGGCCAATCACGGCCGCGCGCATGCCGTCACGTGGTGACGAATCGCGTCGCTTCGATTGGCCGAGCAGATCGAGGGCGGAAAAGGGCCACGCGCGTTGTACCAGAGGACAAAATGTTACAGTTGTAAACAGAGTTGTAAACAGGATACAATGAATCCGCGACAGATTGATGGATAAATTATTGCCACTGTAGAAGAAAGCCGATAAACCAAAAACATCGGTCGATTCCCGCGTAATCGCGCACCGAATCGTCAAGAACACGTCGTTCCAGTATTCCTTAGGCCACGCTCCATTCCTCCATACATGGGCCTAAAACATAAACATAATTTATCATTAATTACGTGTATCCCGACTTAAAGTTTTCGTGACTGCAGGAATTGGTATTCTTTGGATCTTTCGGTGAAGCCACGTAGATAAAACAAATAATAAAACATTTTTTTAAATGTTATTTTCTTTTGTTCTATTACGTAGCTTTACCGAAAGACCCAAAGAATACGTTTATCATCTTACGACTGTAACATTATCATCGTGTTACAGCGCACGGTTTGTACTCTGCTGCGAGCAACCGGTGGCAGCAGGCACGTCCACGTGTGAGCGACTCCGTCGATATGAATCGATGGTAATCGATGCATTGTCACGCGCACACATCCCGATGGGAAACACCCTGTTTAACGACGACCTGTGATTGGCTACGACTGTGTCAAGCATCCATCGCATGAGAAGAAGAATAACGTTAAACGAGCATCATAATATCGAATCGCGACAATAATAACACAATTCAATAAGGTTACGAACAGTAAATTACACAACAACAACAACGGTAATATAATAACTATTAACATTATCAATTATAATCGTCCAATATACAATGTACACACATTCCATTGGCGCCTGCACGGCGGATTGGTACTGGGTAGTCACATCACTCATGGCAGTACTACGAGACTCACGGACTTGGGAGTTCATCTACGCGTTGTGTGTGTTCGTTTGTGTATGTGTCTGTGTGTTTTTGTGTGTGTGTGTCTGTGTGTGTTCGTGTGTGTGTGTCTGTGTGACTCAGTCTCAAATGAGTACCTGGTGCGGTGTGTAAACATCGCCACGAGGGAGACAAAGGCGGTCGGGCGTGGTGCTGGCCACCCACCCCCTCGTGTACCGTTCCGGCCTTTATAGGTGCTCGCTAACAGCAATTGCCCCTACAGTCTGTTAAGGCTATACAGGGGATCTTTGTTTTGTGTATGTGTGATGGGAGCGGTAGTGTAGCGGTTAGCGCGCTGCGCTACGAATCTGGCGACCAGAGTTTGATTCCCGCTCACGGCCATTATCTGAACCGGTCATGGGCCTCCCCGAGGTCGACTCAGCCTCAAATGAGTATCTGCTGCGGCGTGTAAACATCGCCACTGGGGAGACAAAGGCGGCCGGGCGTGGTGCCGGCCACCCACCCCCTCTCGTGTGCTGTGCCGGCCTTCACAGGTGCTCGCTAACAGCACTTGCCCCAACAGTCTGTTAAGGCTACACGGGGGATCTTCGTCTTAGTCTTTGTGTGGAGAGAGCGGTATAAGCCCGCCAGCTCGCATTTGGATTAAAACATGTGAGATGCATGCACTTTCATCATGGGACCTCCTTTGCCAGTAGCAAAATGTGAGAATATGTTTTCCCCTTTTTTCTGGCAACAAAAGTGCATGCACTTGTTGAACTTCTGAGCACGGCCGATTTACACATATGTGGGTGGGTGGGTGGGTAGGTGGGTGGGTGAGTGGGTGGATAGGTGGGTGGGCGGGTAGGAAGTTTGGTAAATGGGTCACGTGGACAGGTATGTGCACAGATGTCAATGTCTATAGGTAGGTTGTCAAGGTGTGCAGATGTAGTAGGTTGGATAGACATGCATAGTGTACACGTGTAAACGTGGCTATGTAGCTGGCTGTATATATGTTGAAGTTCCGACTGCAGGTATTGTGGTCAATGCAAACATGACTCTTTGTAAAAAAAAAGGTGTCAGTTTTGTTGCCAGATAAAGGGTAAAAAAACAATTATCATGTTGAAGTTTTTTCGCACCGTACGTAACCAACCGTGTCAATCCGCCCACACCTCGATTAGCACGGCTGGTTCGGCAGTCGGTGTACGGGTGGGTGGGTAGGTGGGTGGGTAGGTGGGTGGGTAGGTGGGTGGGTGGGTAGGTGGGTGGGTGGGTGGGTAGGTGGGTGGGTGGGTGGGTAGGTGGGTGGGTGGGTAGGTGGTTTGGTAGGTGGGTGGGTGGGTTGGTGGGTGGGTGGGTGGGTCGGTAAGAGGCAGGTGGGATGCTGAGTGGATCGATATATATACATCATACATGGTGTGAAAGTTGGCAGGTAGTTCGGTGATTCGGTAGGTGCATGGCTGAGTACGTAGGTGTGTCGGTAGTTAGGGGATGGGTAGGTGTATGGGTAGAGAGTTGGATATGTAGGTGATTGGTTGGTAGGGGAGCATGCAGATAGGTAGTTTGGTAAGCAAGGGGTGGGTAGCTGAGTAGGTACAGGTGGATGGCTGGGTGTGCAAGTAAGTAGGTGGGCATTAGGTATACATAAATAGTGCACCTCGGTACACAAGTATTCTACACAGGCTACATGAAGCCCACACTGCCAGGCCGCGTACACTCACAGCATACACACACATACACACACATACACACACATACACACACACGTGCTCAATGTACACGCACACACGCGTATCGAAAAGCAGAAGATAAACTCGGGTGACCTCGACCTACACAGACTTTGTAATGTGATGTGTGTGTCTCTCTGTGAGCCAACGTGTGTGTGTGTCTCTGTGTGAGTCAGTGTATGTGTGAGTCAGTGTGTGTGTCTCTCTGCGAGTCAGCGTGTGTGTGTCTCTGTGTAAGTCAGTGTGTGTGTCTCTGAGCCAGCGTGTGTGTGTGTCTGTCTGTGAGCCAGTGTGTGTGTCTGTGTGAGTCAGTGTGTCTGTCTGTGAGCCGGTGTGTGTGTGTCTCTGTGCGAGTCAGTGTGTGTGTTTGTCTGTGAGTCAGTGTGTGTGTCTCTGCGAGCCAGCATGTGTGTGTGTCTCTCTGTGAGCCGGTGTGTGTGTCTCTGTGTTGACATACGAACGGTAATGCAGCAGTCGTGCAGCGGTCAGCGCGCTGCGCTACGAACCCGGTGACCCGAGCTCAATTCCCGATCACGGCCAACACCGGTGACAGCTGAGCCGGCTCCTGGGCGTCCCCTAGGTCAGCTCAGCCTCAAATGAGTACCTGCTGCGATGTGTAAACATCGCCACTGGGGAGACAAAGGCGGTCGTGCGTGGTGCTGGCCACCCACCCCCTCGTGTGCAGTGCCAGCCTTCATTGGTGTTCGCTAACAGCACTTGCCCCAACAGTCTGTTACAGGCTATACAGGGGGTCTTTGTCTATGTTGTTAGCTCTGTTTATATATCTTAGTATCTGTAGGTGTGGAATTTATATATTTATTTTGTTACATCTGCTGGTATCTCTATGTTGGTATCTGTGTTGTTTCTGCATGTGCGAGTGTTCTATCTGTGCGTGTTAGTATCTGTGCATTTTATCTTGTGTTGGTATCTGCGTGTGTATTGCGAACTGCTTTGCTATCTCTGCTGGTATCTGTAAGTATTCGTGTTGTTTATGTTCTATATATCCAAGGTACACATAGCCTGGCACAAGCGTCGTGGGGACGTCACCGCCACTTAGTGGCGAATGGCGGTTGTTGTTGTTGTTATATATCCATGTTCTACCTGTGTGTGTCCTGGTGTCTGTGTGTGTCCTAGTGTCTGTGTGTGTCCTGGTGTCTGTGTGTGTCCTGGTGTCTGTGTGTGTCCTGGTGTCTGTGTGTGTCCTGGTGTCTGTGTGTGTCCTGGTGTCTGTGTGTGTCCTAGTGTCTGTGCGTGTCCTGGTATCTGTGTCTCTTGTGAGGAGCGACAGTGTCGCTATTATCTAGGAGCGGTGGTGTAGCACTTAGCGCGCTGCGCTACGAACCTGGCGACCCGGGTTCCATTTCTGCTCACGGTCAACACCAGTGACGATTATCTGAACCGGTCCTAGGCCTCCCCTAGGTCGACTCAGTCTAAAATGAGTACCTGGTGCGGTGTGTAGTAAACATCGCCACTCGGGAGATAAAGGTGGCCGGGCGTGGTGCTGGCCACCCACCCCTATGTGTCACGTGTGATCCTTCATAGGTGCTCGCTAACAGCACTTGCCCCAACAGTCGATTCAGGCGTTGTCTGTGTGTGTCTTGGTATCTGTGCGTGTCTCGGTATCCTGTGTTGGTATATATGTGTGTGTGTGTGTTGGTCCTCAAGTGACCTACTCAATAGATTAGTCACTTAGTCTCACGATTCAAAGCCCAAAGTCTATCTCATTATTGGAAGAGTGTGAAAGTAGATGCGTATTATTATCACATGCCCCAACGCCTCACTGCCACAATGCAACTTGAAATCTTAACCCACATGTCTAAGTCGTATATTGCTAAAGTGTAAACTGTTACACTTCACGTGTCATGTTCATATATATTGTTTAATATTATAATCTTTTTGCGACGCTTTTTTTACATGCATAATACATCTTCTTTGTTTCCCAGGTCTACCTTGCAAAATAAACGAACACAGCGTTCCCATGGGACAGCCAACTCGAGGCGACTGAAGGCGACTCTGGGTGGCCCGAAAATAAAAGTAGTTACCATCATTCCAGGACGAATTCAGCCTTCGGTTCCGAGACATCAGGTTAAACCAGATAATTCGCTCAGACCGGCCCAGATAATTAATTCAGCCTGTGGGCCCAATATTCGAGATTGGCCCAGATAATTCATTCAGACCGGCCCAGATAATTTATTCAGCCTGTGGGCCCAAGAGAATTCAGACTTCGGACCGAATTCACTTTCCAGCAAAAAAAACTCCAGTTAACAACAAACCACGAAATCGCGTTATCCGAGATGACACCAGGAGTTTGGCGTCTCATGGAAACGCGGTTACGTTGCAGCTGGCACAGTCCGGAATGCTCTCCCAGGAGCTCGGCTCGGGCACGCCACATCCACCGCGCCTGACATCGCCCCCATTCTATACCCTAGAGTCCCATGAACCTGTTTTTATCGTATTAGAAAACTATAGGGTAGAATAATATGATTATTATATATTCCACCGGCATACCCTGTACTCTAGTGGTAGTGCCTTACACCGAGAATCCCGACTCGAACCCAGCCAGCCAGCCAAGCAAGAAGTGTTTCGGGAATAAAAAATAATAATTCTAGATTTGAAGCTTTCGTGACTGCAAGGATTCATATTCTTAGGTTTTTTTTCGGCAAAGTCACGTAGGTAACATTTTTATTGTATTTTATTTTACTTTTATTAATTAAAATTTTTTACCTACGTGACTTTACCGAAAAAAACCTAAGAAAAAAGAATAATAATCGAGTGAGCAAAATAAAGTCCTGGGTCATGAGTCGCTCTCTCACCTGCTTCTCAATAAAGTTAATCAATGAACGAACGAACGGACGGACGGATGAACGAATGAAGGAGCGAATGAGTCGACGGCGCGCACACCAGAAGGTTCCACCGAAGTTCTTAGTCCTCCTCCTCCCCCCCTCAACCCTGGTACATGCCTCCCTGCCCGGCCGCCATGCTCAGGCTCTTCAGTTTGTTGTCCTTCTTCCACTTCATGCGCCGGTTCTGGAACCAGATCTTGATCTGGCGCTCGCTCAGGCAGAGCGCGTTCGCCACCTCGATGCGGCGTCGCCTCGTCAGGTAGCGGTTGAAGTGGAACTCCTTCTCCAACTCGAGCGTCTGGTAGCGCGTGTAGGCGGTGCGCGAGCGTTTCCCTTCCGGACCGGATATCCCGTCTGCGCGGACACGTCACAAAGGCAAGTTTGTATACGCGGACAAAGGTCCCCCCGTGTACGCCTTCAACAGACCGTTGGGGGGTGGGGGGGCCGGTGCTGTCAGCGAGCGGCACCTACTAAGGCCGGCACGGCACGCGCGGGGGTGGGTGGTCAGCGCCACGCGGTGATGTTTACACAACATACCAGGTAAACTCATTCGAGGCCGAGTCGACCTTGGGGAGGCCCAGGATCGGTTCAGATAATCGTCACATACACACGCGTGTGTGTCTCTCTGTGTGTGTGTCGTGTGTGCGAATATGTAGAGCGGTGATGAAGTGGTGGGCGCACTGTGCTACCGAACCCAGCGGCCAGAGTTCGATTCGCACTCTGTTGCTCTGCAGAGATGCGATTGAAACACAGAGAGAGAGAGCCGATCCACATTAAGATTGAGCGCTCAGGCTGTGCGTGTACCACGTGTCCATGCGTGCGCGCGCACACACACGTGGCGTTAATTGGTCGACTGGTCACGTGGCACGTGTTTTAACAACAACCATCGGGCGCGTGCAGCGTGAGCCTTAATTCGTATCCGAATTGGTAATTAATTGGTAACCGCGGAAAGGTGGAGCAGAGTGGTGGGTGGCAAGGACTGGAGGTTTGGAAACCTCGGTGTGTACACGTGTGCGTGTACACGTGAACGAAGGCACCTTCCACGAAACGTCGGCCAATTATAGAATGTCCTGTTGTGAGGCTACAGTGTTAACGACGAATGTGCTGATGAGTAAGTAAATTCGCGTTCTACCTGCTGCGTAACAAAGCAGCCACAAGCGGCGAACCAACTCGGACACCCGACAGCACTCAGCTCGCAAATCCCCCATAACAAGAGCACACATGGCTTCTAGATTTGAAGTTTTCGTGACTGCAAGGATTCATACTCTTTGGTTTTTTCGGTAAAGTCACGTAGGTAAAAAAATAATAAAATAAAATAAATGGAGAAAAAAAACAACTAAATTAAAAAGCGACGTTTCGGGCGCAACACAAGCGTCCTTCTTCAGGTGAGGACAACTTATCGAAAGCGCAAATTATATAACACCTCGTCACAGCCATCTCTGAGACACACTGAAGCGGTTGTGCTTTCGCTACGTTGTCCCCACCTGAAGAAGGACGCTTGTGTTGCGCCCGAAACGTCGTGATTAAATTTAGTTGTTTTTTTTCATTTATTTTATTTTATTATTTTTTACCTACGTGACTTTACCGAAAAAACCAAAAAGTATAGCACACGTGGCATCTGTCGTTATAACGATAGACATCGCCTTGCCGATCCACCGCTGGATGAAGGCCTTCCCACAATCGTGGAGATTGTTTGACTATACTTCACCTCGTCTGGTCAGTGTGCGGGTTGATAAGAATGTTGGCCGCGGCCGGTGAATCGAACTTTGGTGTAGCGCAGTGCGCTAACAACCGCTGCGCCACCGCTCCCCTCATTACACTGCCCTTCGACACGATGCCAGGGTGCTTCAAAAACATGTGAACACTTCGGAGGATTTGCAACAACAACGCCACAAGAAATGTGCCACCATCGGGCTGTGGAGACCACCTGGAGAAGATTCCAGGGCACGCGTTGACAACGATGGCGAACAAGTGGAGCCTCCTCGACTGTTTTAAGCTATTAACATTACAACATTACAATCGCGATCGCGTTACAGTGTTAACATTTTTTTGAAGCATCTTGTATATTTTATATTTTGAAGAGAACACCTCAACACATTCGACAGTGACAGCGTGTGGCCCTTGACATTTTAATAAATATGTAACTGCCGACGTTTCGGGGAATGGACCTATTTCTTCGCACACAGACAGACCTGAGAGATAGTGGATAACAAACGTTGTAGACAACACTCGTTTACACCATAGGGCCTGATGGGAATCTATTCACAGTATATATATATTTGTAAATGTCATACATGTTGATACTGTATACATAGTAAAACTATACAACTATTTTATTTTCCCAGCTAAGGCCCCACTGAGCTATGTAGATTTTTTTTCAGAAGCGACCTGCCCACAAATGATAGTTCAACGCGAGTGGCTTATCACGGGGACATTGATAGCAGCCGAACAATCGAAAATCACGTTGATTCAAAATGTGGAAAGAAAACCCAGAGGACACGGAGAAAATCCACGCGACCACGGTGAGAGAGGACACGCAAACTCCAAGCATACAGCAGCAGGCGTCAGGGTCGGGTTTCGAACCCACGACCTCCTGTACACCAGGCGAGGTAGTTAACATCTCCTAGCCACCGTGGGGTAGATGATGGGGGGTGAGGTGAGGGATGGGGTAAATGTACAGAGAAAACCCAGAGGACACGGAGAAAATCCACGCGACCACGGGGAGAGAGACACGCAAACTCCAAGCATACAGCAGCAGGCGTCAGGGTCGGGATCGAACCCACGACCTCCTGCATACCAGGCGAGGTAGTTAACATCTCCTAGCCACCGTGGCCGCCCATCTAGATGGTGCTGACCCACTGTGGTGGAGCTGGGGTAGATGGGGAATGAGGTGAGGGATGGGGTGAGGGATGAGGCGGGGGATGAGGTGAGGTGGTCGGTGGTGAGAGATGGAGCGCGCGGGTTCCGGCACGGCCAGGCGAGTTGAAGGCGGTGAGCGGAGTTCGTGGCAGTGTTTGCGCGGTGAGGGCCGAGGCTGTTGCACAGAGCGCCGTGGTCACTGAGAGGAGTCGAGAGAAGATGGGCGCACGAGTGAGAGAGGCAGAGTGGGCCATGAATGGTGAACTTCTTAGGCACCGTACGTAGCCAGCGGCGCTAATCGGAGGTGCGGGGGAAGGACGAAAAACTAAACTCAGAAAAAGAAGCGGTTCTCAAGGAATGAGTTTGTCAATCTGGATGATTTAAAAGTGTATAGCTCCGGTGACGTCCGAACATTGGAAGGAAGAGCGTTCCAGACGGCCGCAGAAGCGCATCTGAAAGCGCCGCGCGATGCGGTGACCACCGCCGTCTTTGTTGGATGATTAGAGGTAGATCTAGAGCAGGGTGGACTCCTGAGAGGTGGATAAGAGAGAGTGGAACACAGGGTGGGTGGGGTAGAGTCGAGAGAGTGCCTCTCTATAGGTTGTGACGAAGGTCCATTATCCGAAACGTTGCCTAGTAAAAATGTGTTTTTTTTGTTTTTAAGGCCACGGTGATTTTAACGGATGTTGTCGGGCATTTTGTGCTATTTGTGGTAGAGAGAGAGAAAGTTCAGAGCTCGAGAAGAGAGATTAAAGAAAGAGTGCGATCGAGAGGAGTATAGAGTATAGCTCCCAGGGGGTCAGCCAACCAAAATAACGAGACGTGCCGTTTTTTGTTGTTGCGTTAAAACACAAACGCCAACTCAATAGTTCAAGAGCCGCATTGCACTGCGCGGTGACGAACGAGACCGGTGGCTTAGAAGAGCCGCGTGTTGCCTACCCCGGGGTCTCTAGGCCACAGCAAACTCGAGAGTTGAGAATCGATGAGGTTGTGGATGCAGCCACATCGAGTGTGATACAGAGGGGGGGCAGCAGTGTCTCGAGCTCAGCGCCCCCCGCGGGAGAGACGTCGAGAGAGTGGAGGCCGAGTACTAGAGAGACAGCTTAGTCAGTCCACGAGGAGGCACGGACTTGTAGAGAGTCGAGGTGGAGAGAGAGAGGGTTGTGGAGAGTTGGGGAGAGAGGGTGTGGAGCTGTGGAGCCGCAGAGGATGAGCCTAACCCCTCTCGCCTTTTAGGCCCCCATTGCTTACGTGTCGTGCCCGCTTTGCCTCTCATAAACAACAACACGAGCAACATTGACAACACCACCAACATCGACAACACGAGCAAACAGCAACATGGCCAACAACGCTGACAGCAATGACAACAACGACAACACGAACAACAACCGACACCAATACAAAACACGACATTAACAACACCTACAACATCACCGCCACCACCACCACCACCAAACAACATCGTCAACGTTTATAAACAACAAGCGACAATATTGACAAGCGACACACACAATCATCTTTCAGCCACAACACACACAAAGGCCCCCCGTGTAGCCTGTGACAGATTGTTGGGGCAAGTGCTGTTAGCGAGCACCTACGAAGGCCGGCACGGCACACGAGGGGGTGGGTGGTCAACACCGCGCCCGGCCGCCTTTGTCTCCCCAGTGGCGATGTTTACACCGCACCAGGTACTCATTTGAGGCCGAGTTGACCTAGGGGCGGCCCAGGACCGGTTCAAAGATAATCGTCACCGGTGTTGACCGTGAGCGGGAATCGAATCCGGGTCGCCAGGTTTGTAGCGCAGCGTAGCGCTAACCGCTACACCACCGCTCCCCACAACTCCATCACCACCACCACCACCAACAACAACACTACCAATAAACAGCAGCAACGCCAATAACCAACAGCCTCCACAACAACAACAGCAGCAGTCACCGTCCTCCACGCGTCCTCACCGTGGTTGAGGTGCAACTTTTTCATCCACGGGTAAATCTGCGGCGCCTCCTCGCCATCACGAGGCGGCTTCTCCCCCGTCAGCTGCAGCTGCTGCTGCCTCGCCGCAGGCAACACGGGGCCGCCGTTTGCCGGGAGGGCAGAATCTCGCAGAGTCTCCACAACACCAACTCCACCACCACCAACTCCACCACCAACTCCACCACCACCACCAACTCCACCACCACCGCCCACCGGACTCCGTGAATAACTCTCCGCCTTGCTGATGTAGCTGCTGTTGCTGCTGCTTCTGCTGCTACTGCTGTTGTTGATGCTGCTGATGTCCGTACAGCTGACGCCGCTGCTGCTGCTGCTGTTGTTGTTGATGCTGTTGTTGTTGATGCTGTTATTGTTGATGCCGATGCTGCCGCCAGCACAAGCCAGTCGGTCCCTGTGTCGCCCGGACTGGCTGTGGTAGTCACCGCCACCAACACCACCACCAACACCACCGCCACCACCACCACCACCGTTGACAAGTCCCGCGCCGCACAGCTGAGTTCCGTGCGGTCGCCGCAAGCTCAGGTCGATGCCGCTGTAGTCGAACCCGCACCTCGCATCCCCGTAGGAGCCCTCTCCCGCGGGTCCCGGGGGTCCCGCGTCACCCGGATCACCGGGGTCCCCGTACCCCGGAATGAGGGGGTAGTCAGGACCCCCGCTCGGGTAACGCGCAGAAGCGAACGAGTTCACGAAATACGAACTCATCGCGCGGAGCGTAAGTCGCGTTAAGTGCGTGCGTAAATTGCGTGCGTAACTGCGCGCGCGCGCGTGTGTCCGTGAGTGTGCGCGCGTATCGTAAATCTGGCGAGTGCGTAAAAGCGGCCCGAGTGTGTAAATCGAGTGCGCGTGGTGCGCAAGCGAGGGGGGCGAGTGTGTAAATCGTCCCGAGCGCAACCCCCGCGACTCGGCTCGTTTATTGACCCCCTCCGCTCCCCCGCACGGCCGTGATTTGTGGTCGCGCGACGACCACGAGCTGACGGAGTTCTCCCAGCAGGTCTGGCTCGCGTGTCCTCCCCCCACCCACTCCACTCACCCACTCCACTCCACCCACTCCACCCCACCGGTACCGACTCGGCTACTACCTGGGGTACTAACTCACTCGCTCGCCGACTCACGCTCTCACCGCAGCAGCAGCAGCAGCAGCCGCGCTTTGCTCGGCGCGGACTATGAATTATGGCTGTGAACGCTGCAGCACCCATGCGGGTCGCTTTCTAGTTTTGACGGCAGGCGCAAGGGTGGAGGTGGGAGGGGGAGGTGGGGGGGAGGTGGGGGGTGAGGGGAGGGTTTGGGCAGCGGGGGGGGGAGGTGAAATGGTGAATCTCCCCGATCACGTGCGCCACTCTGGCCACTCGCGCTCTGCCCGGGCGCTCGAGATGCGTGGCGTTTGCGAGGCCGTGCCCCCCTCCCCCTCGCCCCCAGCGGGGGAGGGGAGGGGCGGAGGGATGAAGGTGGAGGGGGGGGGAAGTGGAGGGGCGGGGCGGGGAGACGAGGTGGAGGATGAGGGGGTGGGGGCACCCCTCTGCCCTGCTCAGTCCCGGGCAGCCTCAACGCCGAGCGCGTAGCGGCCCCTACCGGGGCAGCGAGGAGCCAGACAGGGCAAGGGGAGTGGCTGCCACCGCTACGGAATGTTACGGGACGCGTGGTACGTGGTGTGTACGCTGGACTTCTTTCGCGCCGTACGCAGCCAACCCTGCGAATCGGAGGTGCGGGGGTAAGGAGCAGCGGGCTCCTCGCACAAAACTCGGAGAGGCTCCTCCGGATAAACAAACACAGCCACACCAATGATGATAAACAAACACAGCCACACCAATGATGGCCACGCGCCGTCGATTCGTTACAGCGACGGCGGCTGCGGCTGTGGTGGCTGGAGGCGCAACCTCCGCTGGGCTTTGTGGTCGCGTCCCCAGGAGCGAGGTGAGAGCGGCGTGAGAACTCGAGACGCACCGAAGGATGACAACGATGATGACGACGATGATTATGATGATAATGATGCAGCAGCAGGACTCCCTCACCCTTATCTCGAACCCCCGAAACCCTTTTCCCAAATCGTGTCCCCGAACCAGCAACTGGCTAAACCAGCTGGGTAACTGGCGAAACGGGATTTTCCGTGCGGCAAATAAACATTGAGTTGAACCGTCTCCTTAACAACCAATCGCGAACTCTAACCTCATATCGATCCCCTACGGCTGACCTCAATACTGTCCATAAAGCGAACCCCAAGCATATCCCTAACCCCTTTACCGAACCCCCATCCCCTTATCCCAGCAAACCCTCACCCGAACCTCGGTCCTAGCCCTCACCTGGTCCACGCGCACATCGGAGTATCACGCTTGGCTACGTACGGTAAGAAAGAAGCTCAACACACTTGCGTACAACACACGTGCACTGATAATGGAAACATTTCACGCACCGGCGATTTGAATTTATGTTTTTACGATTCCAGATCATGATTATTATTCGGAATAAAGTCGTGTTTGCCCCGTTTGTACCGTCTGTCTCGTGTTGCGTGTGTGTGTGATGTGGTCTCGTGTGTTCAGTCGTGGTGGGAAAACACCGCACTGATTCGCACTCGCCACTCACGATAACCGTGGATGGGAATCGAACTCGGGAGGTCCGGGTTTGTACCGCACCAGGCCGACAAACTGCGCCACCGTTTCTCCACGGCGCGCACGCACGAAGACAAAGATCCCCCGGATAGGCTTCACAGACTGTTGGGGCAAGTGCTGTTAGCGAGCGCCTATGAAGGCCGGCACGGCACACGAGGTGGTGGGTGGGCCAGCACCACGCCCGGCCGCCTTTGTCTCCCCAGTGACGATGTTTACACACAGCGACAGGTACTCATATGAGGCTGAGTCGATCTAGGGGAGGCCCAGGACCTGTTCAGATCATCGTCAATGGTGTTGGCCGTGAGCAGGAATCGAACTCGGGTCGTCGGGTTCGTAGCGCACACACACACAAAGATAAAGACAGAGATCCCCCGTATAGTCTCAACATACTTGTGGAGCAAGTGCTGTTAGCGAGTAAGCAGCCGGAACGGCACACGAGGGGGAGTTGGGTGGTCAGCGCCACGCCCGGCCGCCTTTGTCTCCCCCCCCCCCCCCCCCCCCCCCAGTTGTTAGACGTCACCTTGAGGCTCGAGCAGTGGAAGTAGCCGCGCCCGTGGCCTCGGCCAAGGGGGGAACGCACCCAGAGGAGACGGAGCGAGGTTGGGACGACTTGGGGAGGCCTTCATCCAGCAGTGGATTGACCCTGCCCGCTGACTGCTGTTGATGATATTCATCTATTGAAGCTGCCAAATCACGCTATCTGACGAAGCTAATATTGACGAGAGTTCAAGGCGAGGTGTCACCCCTTGACCATGAATGCACGTGGACATTACAGCCCCGTTAATCCATGAACCCTCGCCATTCGTTCCGCGGCACGCGGCGCGAAACGTCGGGCATCATAGCGACCAACACGCGGTACAACCCGAAAACCTTCAGATAAACAGCACGACCGCCAACACCTCAACAGTCGTATCAGTCGCCTGACCCAGTCCAAGAATGGAGCGGTGGCACAGTGGTTAGCGCGCTACGCTGTGAACCAGTCGAACCGAGCTCGGCTCCCGGCCACGGCTCACATCAGTGACGAGCGATTCGTCTAAACCGGTTCCGCGTCCCCATCAACCCGCACTGACGAGCGGGGTGAAGTATGGTCAAACAGCCCCCACCAGAAGGCATATCCATCCAGCAGTGGAGTGTGACAAAGGTGCTGTCATGTGACTTAACCTAAGTAATTGAGACCATATTAGAGAACAAATAAATACCACACGCCAAAGCTCACTCAAACATCATTCGTCTCTGGAATTGAGACTCGATTAAGGCACAAACGCCAAATTCAGCAATAAGCCTGCGATTCCATTTAAACGGCTGTAACTCAAATCGTACACAAACGCAAACACATTAAGCCGTGAAACCCCCCACCCCATCCCACCCCCAAATTCAATCAGACACGCAAGTAGGGCACTAACACCAATTTAGGGACACCGCGAGAAACACTCCAATTCCAGTTAAGCCGATTGAGACATTAAGCCCCAATTAACCCCTGACCGAGTCAAAGCTCCGATTCTCAGGTTCGGGGTGTTCCCAGTGTCTGTTCGCGACACACCGCGTCGTGAACAGACGGCCGCCCGGTACACACGCACACACACACGTGCGCACACATGAAGTGCACGCGCTGAGCGCGCCACTAAGATAACACGTCGGATGGAAAACATGGAAAACATTAATCGTCTCGGGTTTGTTTTCTTTCAATTGAGCGATGATTTAAACCGTGTGCGTGTGCGTGCGCGTGAGTGTGTGTCTATGGGTTTTTTTACGATGTGTATATTTTGTGCGCTGGGGCGGTGACGGAGCGGTGGCGCAGTGATTAGCGGATTTGCACTCAACGACGTACACACGTCCACGTGAGTTCCATTCCCGGCCACTGCTCACATCATCAGTGACGAGTGAGTTGTACTGTATATGTGAACCGGGTCTATGGCTCCCACACACAGACACACACAAAGCAAAACAACAACTCCTCTTCAGCAACCCGCACTGACGACCAGCGTGGGGAAGTATGCACGCTCAAACAACTCCTCGTGACGCCGTAATGATGCGGCTCATCCGTGCACCACAATGTCCGTCACGTGTTCACGTTTCTTAGTAATAATTCTGCTGTTGTTATCATTATTTAGGATGCCAGTATCACACCTCTAAGCCCGTGAGATATCCGCTTTCTACCGGCTTTAGTGTCCGTCACACCCCGCGGGTCGACTCAGCCTCAAACGAGTACCTGGCGCGATGTATAATAAAAAACAAAAACATCTCCACGAGGGAGACAAAGGCGACCGGGCGTGGTGCTGGCCACTCGCCACCGCCCCCCGTGTGTCGTTCCGGACTTCACAGGTGCTACTCCCTAACAGCACTTTCCCTAACGGTCTGTTCGAACTATACAGGGGATCTTTGTCTCTGTTTAGCGCGCGAGAATTTAAAGGGACTCATATCGACCAGCGTTGTCTGGGTGAGCAAGCGAACTCTGGACCCGTTTCGACCTTCTGAATTCATCAGCAGGTCCAGGCTTGTGAAACAGATACTCCGCGGGCCGGGTTCCTGTGCCAGCCGTCAAGCATTGAACTTATTCTACGTAGCTTCAGTGCCGGGCCTGTAGCATATGTTATAAAGGGGCCCTACATTAAAAAAAGACAAATATTAAAACAATTTTTTTACTTGCATAGTAAAGTAATTGTATTTTTAATTTGCTATACAGCCCTGATAATACGACAAATCGTTATCCTTAAACACCCAGTCGTTCATAAAAGTCGAAGGCGGTATAGTACTATAGTAATAGAGCAAGTGCAGAATCACTGAACCGGAATTGATAGCTTGGAAGCATTTAGCGCGGGGCCCTTGAAAGTGTGTGGCTCGCAGCATTTGTATCTACTTTTGCTACTAGAATTATCCGGCACTGCGTAGCTCAGCGGCCGTGGTGACCTCTCCACACACACGCGCACACGCACACGCACGCGACTATTATACGGTACTATTCGCCCGCAGCGTGATTCTATTTCACTGTAGGGGCAGTATTAGCGGGTGAATCGAGGCGAATTGCTTGGTTCACTTATGATTGGACTCGTTTGTGTGTGTGCGATGTTTTTAGTTTGCAAGCAACGAAATCCGGTCAAATGTCTACCAATTTTTTAGCCCTTCTCGAACTATCGTTTCTCGCCCACATTCTAACCTTGCATATGAGAGCTTTTATTGGCGGGTGCCACGTCCCCGCACACAAGTGAATTGTGTACGCGCGTGTTTTATATCGTGTCTATGTGTGTATTGTGGGGGAGCGGTAGTGTAGTGGTTAGCGCGCTGCGCTACAAATCCGGCGACCCGAGTTCGATTCCCGCTCACGGCCAACACCGATGACAATTATCTAAACCGGTCATGAGCTTCCCCTAGATCGACTCAGCTTCAAATGAGTAGCTGGTGCTGTGTGTAATAATCGCCACTAGGGAGACAAAGGCGTTCGGGCGTGGTGCTGGTCACCCACCCCCTCGTGTGCCGTGCCGGCCTTCAAAGGCGCTAGCGAACAGCACTTGCCCCAACAGTCTGTTAAGGCTATACGGGCGATCTTTGTTTTTTGTGTATCATCTCAGTCAGTCGACCCATGGCACCTGGGTCTGTCCCGTGACCTCCTGCCAGCGGACGTTCGACAC